CCGGAAATTCTGTTTCTGATGGAAACGAAATCCAACGCCGGCAGGTGCGAAGAGGTTCGAGCAAGGTTGGGGTTCCATGCTTATACAACCATCGACAATGATGGGTTGAGCGGAGGATTATGCTTGATCTGGAGGGAACAAGTTGCAGTTACGATTAAGTGTGCTGAAATCAACTATATTGACTATTTAGTGAGACTAGGAGATGATGAGTCACTGTGGTGTTTCACCGGATTCTATGGATCCCCTCACCGTGGTTTTTGAGGGGATTTCGGGAGTCAGTTTGGAGCATCGGTCTAATCAATGTGTCATTTGATTTCAGGGACTTTTTTTTATCCTTTTAATCTTTTAATGGAACTACAGTAAATTCTGTTTTAAAAAGAAAAAACATATTTGACCAGTTTAATATTGACAAAATGGTCAAAGTGATACATGAAGTTGTTTTAACGGGAGTAAGTAGTACTTCATCTTACATTTGAAATTTTAAAGTACATAAACTTTTATTTTTAAAGTCAATCAAGTACATTTGCTTTGTATAACAGACCCGGTCAAACTATCTGTTTGTATTATACAGTTGCAGTCTAAATCATCAAATAATTAATATATAAACTCTATCCCCCCCACACCACTTGTTTTTACCTTCGCTTTTCATTTTATATTTTTCTGGTCTGCTTTCCTTCTCTCCGCTCTACATATTATATTTCTCCCGCCTGCTCTCTCTACTATCCCGTCGGTTTCTTCTTTTTGCTCTATTTTATTTTCTTCTTCTCTTGCCATAATAAAGGTGGACCGATAGCAAATAAAAGAAGAAGCTAAGCCGACGGGATAGCAGGGAGAGAAGACGAAAGAGAAGGAGAGCAGCACAGACGGAGCTAGAGGGGACCAACCTAAGCCCTGGCCCACCTCAAATTTAAAAAAACACTATAATTTTAAAGTAAAAAAAATTTGTGTGATTTTTTTTTGGAAAATATTCTTTAACTGCTCTAGAGCGAGAGAAAGGAGAACAAATGTGAGAAATATAAAATGAAGAGCGAAAGTGGAAACAAATGAACTTGAAAAAATTAGAGTTTATAGATTAATTATTTGATGACTTGGACTGCAACGATATATTACAAATTGATGGTTTGGTCAGATTAGCTATTCTAACATTTTTAACAGAACAAATGTAATTAATCAACTTTAAAAATGCAAATTCATGTACTTTGTTGTTTCAAGTGAAAGACGGAGTACTAATTAGTAATTACTCCATTTGAAACAACTTTGTGCAACATTTTCTCGTTTAATACTACCTCCGTTCCCGAAACAACTTCATGGTTTGACTTACACACATATTAAGGAAATAAATTTATCATGTGGTAAATTTTACTGCTTTGACACTATTTGACTGTTTTGCACTGTTTGACATTGTTTTGTTGTAGATAACTTGTCATTTATGGAAATTAGAAGTTAAATTAAGGACATACAAATAAGGAAAAGGAGAAGTTGCTTGGGAGTATTACACTGGTACAATTTCTATTTTAATAATCTTTATATATATAAAAGCAGAATCGTGAGAACAATCAGGTGCAATCTGCCCATTAAAATATTACACGTGTCAACATATGGCTAAATACAAACACGATACAGATTCGTTCACAAAATAACGGTTCATTTTCCTGGAAATTCTTAGCTGCAACCACGTGGCAAATAATGGGACAGTTACATCTCAACTGGCACGTCTGTAACAAGCACTTCCTCATTGCAGTTTTACCCCACACGGATCATTACATATATGCTGCGACAAAAATGAATTCAAGATCAAATCTCAGAAAACACGCATAGCAGTATACTTTTACACCTTTTCTTTCGTTTCTTAACTTTAGATCATTATTATTAGATTATTATAGTGTTTCATTCCGGTTCTAAATTATTGCAGTTTCATGATCATGAGGTAATTGAAAACTCATTGCTAACTGTATAAGTTTCAAAATTTTACATTGTCACGCACTAACCTACTCAGACTCTTGATTTTGATAGGGTGGCAAAATTCATGCTACAATTTGTCCAGAAAGGCTTAATGCGTTCAAGGATCATATAATGTTACTGACGTACAAGGGAACAAATTGTGCATTCAATATCATTTCCAGCCACAAGACAGCAATGGTTGACAACGATGTAGGAAAGTACGTTCAGAAATATTGCTTAAGAAACATGGATTTGAACAATATTTTAAAGGTATTCTAGAGTATGTATGATTTAGTAAAGACAGATTGTTGTGATTATAAACTATATGATATTTGAAAGTTTGTAAATATATTGTGAAGATCATATGTTTAATATCATTGCATTTTACAAAGAATGGTTTCAAATTAATCAATGTAAGCCAAAAGCTTTGATTAATTTTGGGACCGTTCTTTCTAAAACCAAGTGCGTCATGTAAACCTGAACTTATAGACGCAACAAAAATGTGAAACCCAATTCTTGGTTTGGATACCATATATAAACAAAACTTGAGATTAGAGTTACTTTTAAAATATAAATAGTCAAACTAGGTTGTTACGTTTAGGTATATCTCTATTTATAATTACAAAATATGAATCAATAAACCATGAATCGGTGGGGGTTGAAATCACGGACTTGACCTCAACCTTTTGATTATTATATCAATATATATAACAAGTTATACGTATATTTAATATGTACTTTACATAAGAAGTTATGTTTATTAAATTTAGATTGTATAAATTATATATTTTTAAAAGCGAAAAATTGCTCAAAAATATATTGTTCAAAACCATGTTTGGATCAATATGTTTAATAATATAGTTTGGAATTTCACAATATTTCAGATTTAATAAAACCGATGGGTATAAACAATTAACCATTTTATATTTTGAAATTTTTAAAAAGATGTGTAAAGATTAAGTGAATTATTACATTAGTTTTAACACATAATGGTTTCAAATAAATCAAAATGTGAAGATTGAATGATCTAAAAAACAGTTTATTCCATAAAAAGGTGAATGAAATAAAGGAGTTATATCAACCTGTTAAGTTTTTAATCAATGCTTCAACAATTATAGGGATCTCTCTTCTTTGATGTTCTTTTAGTTCCACCATAGGCAACCCTGAAATGAAATAAGGACCAATGATGAGAAACCTAAGTATTTTGTCACAGCCCACAATAATTGAGATTGGCTTTATCTTGAACACTTTAAAGGAAATTGATTTAGTATAAAAAAGTAAAATTTACGATACGTATCTTATTCTTTTAGAAATAGCAATTATAGCCTGATTTTGAAAGTCACAAATGCATTTTTAAGACATTTCATATCGTTACAATTTAATTTAATAATATAAAATCCGTAAAAATCTGGAGTAACTTCGTAATATCATATCAAAACAGATCCAAGTAAATATGTCATATCTGAAATATTAAGACAAAAAAAGTTTGATGAAATCTCATCTCAAAGTCGTCAGACAATATACTTACGTTAATATACATACATGATTAATATATAACAATAGCTACATAAATTTGAAGAAACATCAGATCTGAAAATACGAAGACAAAAAAGTTTGGGAAAACTTATCTTATTCCAGTCGGTCGATTTCTCAGAGCATGTCCCCAGCTTCTTCTCGATGTATGAGCTGCGAAGATAGACATAAGAAGAAATTAGTTCATTAGGATTTTTTATCAAAACTATATCTATAACAGTACAATGGATTAGCAAATCAGGTTGGAAAAGAAACAAAAAACTGTCAAGAGTATTTTTACAAAAATTAAGACAAACAGACCTGACTGGAGAAGGTAGCTACGGTGTGGAAATGCCAAAACTCCATTTCTTTCCCAGTTAGAGGTCTCGATCCTCTCCATGCAGAACTATAAGTTTTGGAACCCTCAGCAACAGTAATGAAAACCATGGGTTACAACTCTTTCTATATTCAAACAGATAAAGAAAAAAGTGTGAAATTGATCTCAGAGATAAAAATAGTAGCTACGTACCTCGCGACTGTGATACATAAGATAAACACTCTCAGGCTGAGCACCGAATCCACCTTCCTCCACCGACCGCGAACTGACTGTGAAGAACACCAAGGTCTCATTTATTTAGTTCATTGGGAGAAGGTGAATATGGTATGGAAGAGCCTGGCGTAGATATGGTGTGGAAGGTGCGAGAAAATTGTTTTGGGAGAAGCTGGACAACAACGACATTTACACGGTAGAGTAGGGTTTTGTGTAAGGAGTTGGGCCAAGATTTAGTGGGCTAAGTAGACATCTAGAAATAGGAACAAGGCCCGAGGATGAATTACGTTAGAAACGATTGTTTTGAAAAGAGGTGCAAAAATAAAATTTCATACTTACGAGTTCAAAACGGGTGATGTTTTTAGATGATAAAAATAAATTGAAACTTAATTGTTAGTCTATGACAATGATGAAATAATTTTTAAACTTAAAGAATTTAGAGTTATATTGCAAGCGAGCAGCCCATAATAGTAATTTAATTGTAAAGAAATGAAAAATAAACATCTAAACACTCTTTAAAGTTTAATACTCAGTCCAACCCATCTTAATTAGCCTAACTTCACTTTTAGAGTCAATTGTGTCTAACTTTGACCGACTATATATTTATATAGAGAAAGTATTGTTAATATGAAAATAATATAATTTTTTTTAAAAAAATATTATCATAAAAGCAACAACAAAGGTGTGCATCAAATGTAAACTCTATGTGAAAGGATGGTACCTCCAATAGCTAAACCATAAATGTTGTATACCCAGAAGTTTTTCAAAAAATGTAGTTTGCTTTGTAATATAATGTTCTTAATTTTTGAATTCAACATATATTCACTCAAAACGTGTAATTTTCTTCCCTATCATATACTGTGTATGTATTTCAATCTTATTATATTAAATGCGTATTGCATTGATATTTCGATATGTATATCTCATAACAAAATACAACAACAAAAATGTCCCGTGCATCGCACGGGTACGATACTAGTCTTTCTAACAGTATATTCTCCACTCATTCTTCCATCTCCTCCACACACTAAACATTGCCTTATCTCTTTCGCGGCCTTTGAGCAATTCCAAAATCACCAAATTTCTCTACCCATCGCCCAAATGCCTGCTTTATCTTTACTACCGTCGCCATTTCTCTGTCACCTTCACAATCAAAACCTATCAGACCAGTACCTTCATTACCGCTAATGGCTTCTAAACCTATATGTCCTCTTACGGTTCCACGATTTCGACATGCATCGTTCAAAAGACCATTCCTTTATTCGTCTCTAGTTTCATGCCCCTCTGCTTCTAGGCTTCAGTTGATCGATTATGCTGGAAGTAAGGTCTTTGTTGGGGCAAGGTTTTTGGCTCTCTTTCCTAAGGCTACTGTCGATCAGTCAGGTTTTTGGCTCTCTTTCCTAACGCTACTGTCGATCAGTTGGTGTTGAAGAAAAATTCTGCTTTTAATGGCATTTTCTTATGTATCATGAATATTTATTTGACGAGAAACGAATGAGAGAAACCGAATTCGCACTTGTGTATGAGTTAAATAAGGATAGTTCATAGTTGAGGATCATGGAACATATAATTTAGCATTAATGATATGATTGCGGTCAAACGTTGATGGTATGAACTTGCAATCAGTGATATCCATTATGCTATTCATCCAACTAACTTACTTGGTATATTTTAAGAAATGGGATCATTTTCTTTCGGTAACATGCATCTGTTCATGTGGAAAAATTGAACTTGTTATGTCCTACAGTTTAGAGGGGTGTATGGAAGCAACATTTTCGTACACTTTTAAAAGCAGTTAAAGACTAATGACATGTTTACATAATGAGGTATTAAACCGAGCAACACTTAGTAAGCTAATGCAAATAAATACACTAATGCAACACTTCTGGTTGACTGGTTCCGTTTATGTGAACTAGTTAGGGATTCGGATGACTGCAGGAGGATCTATTAAGGCCCTAGTGGACCTATGTCCCCACTCATTTTTTCTATTAATGTACTACCTCCGTCCCTAAATGTTCTTCCAAAATAAAGTGGCACGCTGATTAAGAAAGTGAGAATTGTGTGGTGGAGAGTTGTGCAGAGGAGAGAGAAATGCTGTGAACCACAAATTCTTTGCCAAAAAGAGAAAGTGGAGTTCTTTACTTCTTTTTGGGACGGACGAGAAGGGAAAGTTGGAAGTTCTTTTAGGGACGGAGGGAGTATTACTCTCTCTGTCCTACTGTAATTGTTTCATTTTTCCTTTTTCGTTCGTCCCACTAAAATTGTCTCATACCATATTTGATAATATTTGTGTGGTTCTAAACTTCTAATTCATTCTTACTTTATTTTCACTTCATCAACTCATTATCAACTACATAACTCTACTTTTCTTAAAAACCACACCACTCTCTTTTGACCCCATATTAGGGGGACGGAGGTAGTATTATATATCTATTGTTAAATTTTGAAGTATTGTAAAAATTGATAGATGTATAATAGACGTTAATCTAAGTCATATTTGAATTATGCGTCTTTAGTACTCCGTATTATTTAAATGAAGCCTACGCTAAGAAAAAATCCTAAATCCTCTGCTGGATGAGTGAGAAGTACTCTAAGTCTTAGGCTTAATGTGGTTTTTTGGTAATTTACAGCCTTACAGGTTTTGAAGAATTTTAGCGATTTCACACAGCACAGGATCCCAGTATTATGATTGCCAATTTGTGGTTTATCTTATGAGTTGTAATTAATCCATAACCAATCTGTAATTATTATCTTTGAAGTTTGAACAACATCTATTAAGCAGATATATTGATGCTTAATCACAGTAAAGAGATCAACAAGCTCTACTAAACAGTACATTTTTGTTTAAGAAGTGGCAGAAGACCAATCAGTGGAAGACAATTATTAGAACCTCAGATTACAATGTGATGATATGTTTCTGTTTTAGCTGTATCACTAAATTTCACAAACGCAACCAGTAAGATTAGTCTTTTTGCCCCAGGTCAGGTCCAAGAAGATGAATTAGATGACAGTAAGATCTTACCCTATTGCAGCATCAATAGGAAGGAGAAGAAGTCTCTGGGCGAGATGGAACAAGAATTTCTTCAAGCATTACAAGTATCTTTAGCGCATTCTTTGTTTTACTTTAGTATATGTTTTTCATTCTCCATTAACAAAGTTGTGTGGTCTTGTTCCAACAGTCAAGAGAAAGAGAATTTTAAATTTGAATTTTTTCTAAAAACTTCCATCTGTTTCGTTCTTTAAATTATATGGTTTTGTTATTGCCTCAATGCTATAGGCATTCTATTATGAAGGGAAGGCAATCATGTCAAATGAAGAATTTGATAACCTGAAGGAAGAGTTAATGTGGGAAGGAAGCAGTGTTGTCATGCTAAGTATGGAAGACAATGTTTTTCTTTTTTATCTGTTCTATACTTTTTATAGTGTTACATAGAGAGTTAGAGATCATAAATATTTAATAGTAACATTATGTTGTCCGTATTGCAGGTGCTGATGAACAGAGATTTTTGGAAGCTTCTATGGCATATGTTGCTGGGAAACCAATTGTGTCAGATGAAGTGTTTGACAAACTAAAGATGAAACTTAAGGTACTATGAAAAGTCAGATTATCATTAAGAAATTCTAGGAAGTAACCTGAAATCATTACATGATGACCACTTTTTGTAGTCTGGTAATGACAGTTCAAATGAAAAAGAACCAATATCACTAACATAATGTTGTATTTTAAGAAGATGCGCTTGTATAACTTGAATATAGAATTTTATTTAGTTTTGCCACTTTAGGAGTTTTTTCCTTTTAAACCATTCTAACATGTCATCTTTTTTCCCTTAAAGATGGATGGCAGTGCTATTGTAGTTGAGGGTCCACGTTGCAGTCTTCGCAGTAAGAAGGTTTGTAATTATTTATTTTTTGTAGTATTGATTCAACATCTTATTTTCTGTCCTTGAGTGTGAAAGGGGCTCTTTTAATCCACTGATATTACTTTCTGCAGGTTTACAGTGACCTTTCAGTTGATTATCTAAAGATGTTCTTACTTAATGTCCCTGCTGCTGTTGTAGCCCTGGGATTGTGAGTCTTTATTTTGTTCTCTTATGTTTACTTATTACAAGTCACTTTCTGTCTGATTTCTTTTAAATCTTTTCTACTAATAATAATTCATTTCAGTAAAATTTGATCTTTTCCTATGCCATGCTAGGTTTTTCTTCCTTGATGACTTGACTGGATTTGAAATCACTTACCTTTTGGAGGTATTTCTGTACTTTTAACTCACATTGTGTTTCTTTCTACTAAAACAATTTTAATATCTAAGCTATTTAAATGCTGAAAATAATAGAAGCAATCTTTAATAATAGAAATTTGGTTAGAGTGCCGACATTATCGTCGGAACTGTTTCTGGATTCTGGAAGTTAGGATTAGTTTTGGTCTATGACAAATAGTATTACTATTTTATTCTATAGTCAACTAATTGAATTATTTATGTCAGCCTATTATCTGAATTTCTTATCAAAAAATATGATAGTGTTGTTTCGGTATATATTGAAATTATTTGTCTGTTAATTAAGAATTTTTAAAAATGAGATTAATTTTAGTAGATAGCAAATATTTGACACACCATATTAATTGAAGTCGTTTTTTCCCTTTTCACTATCACTTGCATTCCTTCCCCTTTAACCGATGCATGGTTTTCTTTTTTAAGAGTTTCTCTTTGCTTGCAGCTTCCAGAACCTTTTGGTTTTATCTTTACATGGTTTGCAGCTTTGCCATTAATTCTGTGGCTGTCATTCTCAATCACAGGATTTATTGTTAAAGATTTCCTTATATTGAAGGTATTATTTTGTCTTCACACTACTGTTAGAAGTGAAGGGAAAAATAAACCACATTACCAGTAACTCTGTATACCCAATTTTAACAGTACCTTTATTTGCAATTGAACGAGTGAAACTCTCATTTTCAGGGTCCCTGTCCAAACTGTGGTACAGAAAACACTTCATTTTTTGGTACTATACTGTCCGTATCTAGTGGTGGTTCCAGCAACAATGTGAAGTGCTCCAAGTAAATTTCATATGCGTCCTTTAAACTTTAAGCCACATGTTTCCTTAGAACTACAAGAATACAGTAAAGTTAATATATATTTCTTATTCTCGTTAGTTGCGGAACAGAGATGGTATTTGATTCATGTACACGCCTGATTACACTCCCTGAAGGAAGTGCTGCATAAACAGGTACTAGTTCTCTTCATTAGTTATCCTTTCCATCTATCCAAGAATTGTCAAACAGAAAATGATGCGACAAGATTCAGTTATTCTACTTGTTTGACTCCACATGATTGAGTGAGTAGATTCTACAGAATTGTATATAAGGTTTGTATTCCCTCCATGCCACTCCGTGTCATATCTGATATGCCCCTTTGTTTTTTATGAGTTGATCTATTAGGTTTTCGACCTTTTAAGAGGAAAATTGCAGGGGTAGTGAATAGGAGAAGAGAATTGGTAAAAAGGTTAAGAAATAGAAGATGAAAAAATAACGGTGCTTGTGTACTTATGGTTATGATGATATTTTCTGTAGTAGGAAAGTGGAGCAAATATTTCGAGCGAAGGAGTACTATGTTTAGACTTTGAAACATATTTTCTGTCATGTAAGACATGATGTTCTTGTGCAGATATTTGCACAAGGGATAAGACGAATGCTAGTGGCGCAGAAGACAATTTTATGTAGTTGGGTCAATGTACGTGATATTAGATACTCTTATATGGTTTTTATGTATGTGTAGCTTTGTCATGTATATTCTTCAATCATGTCTCATCAGGCTAAACCAAAAGATTGAGAAGTCTTGTAGTTCAGATTTGTCCATACAGTCTTATGCTTTAGTTTTAAGTAAGTCCAACCTTCATTATGTTTTCTGGATTCAACCTTGAAGTAAATATCATATTTAAATGTGGATAGGGTTCCACACAGGAACACATCAGTGTTTTTTCAAGGGACTTGATCAATATTGGCTCCTGTGAACCAGAACCAATGTCCAGCTATATAATAGGCTGGTTGCAGTCAATTGCTATTCTTTTTGTTGTTTTATTTCTTTGATTGCAAGTCGGTCAGAAACTAATTTTGTATCTGGTGGGTTAATTTTGTATAGGAAGGATAATTTCACAAGTCCTTCCATAGTATGTCCATAATGCCTGGACGTAGTGATGGTAAGGAAAGGGGTTTAAACTTTAAACAGAAAGAATCTAGAGAGGGAAATTGATTCGTTTGTTGAATCATGATTGTGCTCTCTGTAGAATCTAAGGATATTTACAGAGTTGGATAACCGTTAAAAAGAATGATTGAAAGCGGAAATATTCATAGTATGAATTTAATGTTGGGGGGATTAAAATTTAAAAGTGGTAAAAACTTCAGTCCAAAAGCATGAAGACCCTTTCCAGTTTCCATGGAAGTATGGAATGGTCCGGGCGCTTGATAGGCATGTGCACCCCAAGTGTTGACCGGAGTGGGCACTTTGCTAAAGAAAAGATTTCGCGAAAATGGCCAATGTTATCCTTGGATACTAGGGTCACTTAGCCAGCATGAGTCCCTGTGCCCAGTTATGTGAGCCAATGTAGCACATAAAGTGAGTATGTGCCAACTGCCAACCCATTATGCCACTAGTAAAGTAGTAATTAACAACTTGAACTCTTGAAGGATATATGAAGAGTTATCAAACATATTGGTGTAAATATGTGGTATCAGTTAATATGAATGAGTCAAACTGGTTGACCTCTAATTTGCACGTTTAATTTGATTCAGAAATAGTGTCAACATCAAGTGTTATGTGTTGAGTGACTACTGAGCACACAAATGTGATAAAATTAAAAATTGAATTACTTAATGTACTTGGAATGTATTCAGGCCACACAAAAACGCACGCAGAAAATACAATCTGACAATCACCGAGACAGCATGAAGCATTACTAAGGATAGCTAGGGGATTATCAAAAGGTCAATTTTTTTTTGCTTACTAAGCTTGCTTTTCATTTCTATTGGTGGTGTCTTTGTCCTCCGGGTGTCTTCTCCAATAGACCCTTGTGAATCTAGAGATGGTAACCTATTTCTCCTAGCCCTTCAACTTCTCCAAAATGGTCCGTTTGTTTTTCAGCTGATTGCGGCCTAACCGCTGCATTTTGCAACATTTTGCAATTGAAATTAATTGGAGATTTGCTTAAACCACTATTATCCAAGCGGGGCAATAGCCCCTCACTTCTCACTTTCTTTTCTTTGCCCTAGTAGGCCATCTATTGACATAGTAGACTCAAAGGGGGTAGGAGTCGTGTGGATCCTACTTCATGGTACACAACAGTCTTAAAAAAAAACTTGAAAAGTATGACCTTTGTTTCCCTCTTTGTACCCTTTTATTTGACCTCCTGTACTTCCACAATGCAACACATGAAGTATAGAGTTGTACGTAAGCTAGTCCAAAATTCCATTCGTTACATAGTATGTTCCTAAATGTCCATCGAAACATATCAACCCATCTTTCTTTCACCCGTTTTCTCTATCTCTTGATTACAACTCACCCTATAATTCATCTCTTTCAATTTTGGATGGGGGGTTTTCCTCTCTTGTTTGGTGTCAACCTATCCATCATGAATCAGAAGAAGTACTTTATTATCGTCAAAACTTATTCAGCTCTAACCCACAGAATTGAGTAGTCAAGCCCTTTCTTCTCACTCTTTTCCTGACCTCCTAATTAAATTCTAAGCACTCTATCCTTCATAGTTGGGGAAATCTAGAGGACATGTCTTAGTCTAGCCATAAGGCTCTCTGCTAGGTTTGACTAATAAATGAGACCCCTTGTACACTTCTCTTACTTTCATCATCATCATCATCATCATCATCATCATCATCATCATCATCATCTCTTCTTATTTTCATATGTTATCTCTATGTTGTATGCTCGTGTTCATTTTCTTCATGTAGGCTCGTCCATTTCCTCCTCTAGCGACGAAGAAGAACAACTCATACCTCATATGCAAGTATGCAACCACTAAGCGGGATGCAGTAATTCCCCTTCTTTTCCTACCAAGGGATGGAAATAAGAAACAACTATAAATCTTGTTCTTTTGCTTCCAAAGTTCCTCATCCCAATCCTTTCACACCACAAAATAAAAAGGTAGGGACCTTCTCACAATTTGCTTTTGCGGTTCCTCGTCCCTATTGAAGACCAACCACCCGTTGGTCCCTAAGAAGAACTCTAAACCTTAGGTGCTAGATTATTGAGTCTAGCATAGTAGTGTATCAAATGGAATGAAGCTTTGGATCACATCACCACTCTTCAAAATGCAGCAAGTCTTCCATCAATCGACCTGGAGCGTGCTGTGAAGTACAACAACACCCTAACACTAGAGGTCCTAAATGCACACACTACATAAATGCATGTGTGTTGACTACATGTGCATATGTGTGTTTGCGCGCGTGTGCGCATATAAATAAAGCTATTAAAATTTTAGCTTTAATTAGAGATCCAAGAAGAGGAATAATTAGAATAACAATATCAAATTTGTGAATAGCGTTTTCATTTAAAATGAATTCTCTAACATTTGACTTTGTATTATTGAAGGGACGATTACTTCAGTACTTGAAAGATAATCCATAAATGAAAAAGAATGGATGGATAATTGATTTCTATTTTTTCTTCAAGTACGGAACCAAAGACATATGATAAGATTTCCCAAAGTTTTACAATATAATAGTTCCATTTTGATATACTCCCAATATTCACTTTTACTTGTACTTTCATTATTTCAATAGAGTGCAACAATAGCATCACACATCATATCATATTGAGTGCCATTGCATTATCACAATGAGCTCAATAACATCTGACATATATTGTCCATCAAACACAAGTGCGGGCCGTGGGTGGGTGACAAGCCTTATGGCCCTTGGATGCTGGCAGATTTGCGGCAGGGAGGAATTCATCCGGGAAATAAGTGACTAATCCCGAGTGAAGGGCGTGAGGTTGAAAATATCAGAGAGGATACTGAAAGACAAGGTCATGTGATAAGATGCCAAGAGAAGGGTTCAGATGTGGGATGCTATTTGGTTTAGGGGCTGATCTCAAAGAGAAAAAGAAAAAGTGAGAGAGGCAGAAGAACACTGCCAAGATAGAGTTCTTGACGAACGGGAATCCGGGAATTGCAAAACCTGGTGGGATTTGAAATTCGTATGGAGGCAGATGGAATCGGCCCAAAAAACAGCCATGCGGCGTTGCTACTGAATCAGCACCGTCTAAAACTCCATTAGTTGATGCAAATGGGAAGCTTCCTTTGGGGGACGCTGGACAAACCTCTTCTCCCTTTCCGATGGCTGGGCAATCGGAATGTAATCTTTGGAGGTGGTAGATCAAACATCTTCTCCATTGCTGGTGGACGGTAAAACCAGAAGTTATGTCTCTAATTGTTCCTTTCAGTTTAATAACTCTAGTCTTTTATTCATTTATTTTAGTAGCAATTGCAGCGCTGCTACTAGATTAGCTTACCATCGTGGGTTAGAGAACTTGTCAGGTCCCCTGGGGCTAGTCAATTCTATGTCTCACCTCAAGGCAGCTTTGAGCTATTGATTTGCATTGTCTCTTGTCACTCTCATTATTATTAATAAATAAGTGTTCTTCTTTAAAAAAACACTTGTGAACGTTATCTTTTTTTTTTTGAAAACCATGTGGACGTTAGCCGGATACAAAAAAAAAGCATAATTCCCATCCACAAATTAAATTAGGTGTGGATAATTCAATCTCAGTTTAAGTTCTCCCTTTTTATTGTTCTATTCGAATTGGACTCAATTGGGTTAATTATGACAAAAAATGAAACTGCATTTTAATTTGATTCGATTTAATTCAATTTGAATTTGCTAATATATTGAGGTTTTCTTGAAATTCTTATTTGACTCTGTTTAATTTGACCTTTTCCAATTCTGGTTCACTTCGGTCAAATCAAGCCTAGGATGGGATTTTGGAATCAAGAATCGGCAAATCAAACCAGACCACATCCTTATGACCTGGTTTGGTTTGGTTCCCAAATTAATTAGTTACGAGTATTTATTAACGGATCAGTTCCTGTGTTTTATTAACGATTCTATTCTTGGGTCCTATTAAAAATGTGTATGCGGAACGTTAAGGAACTGTCATATACTCCCTCCGTCCCAATATAAAGAGCACATTTGCGTTTTCAAACATTTTTAGGAGTAACACTGTTTGACACTGTTTCACCACTGTTTGGCACTCTTTGGCACTGTTTCGCACTGTTTTGTTTGCCAAAAGGGAAATGTGCATTTTATATTGGGATGACCCGAAAAGGAAAATGTGTCTTTTATATTGCAACGGAGGGAGTAATAATTACGTTTTTATCTATTACTTATTAGTATTGATATTTTAATATTTATTTAAATATTACAATCACTAGTTAATAGAGTTGATAACTTGATAAGTATTTAGTAATTGGCCTTAATAGGAGTAGAACATACCACTTGTCCATAAATAGGAGTTAACTCTTAATCTTGCACAAATAAGAGTAAACATTGATATTCTACCCCTAATACACTCTAACTAATTAAATTAATTAATTAAGTAATTGTCCCCTACTTTCCTTGAGCAACCGGGACAATCTGTTGGTGGTGGGGGCAGTTCGGCGGTGGTGATGGCAGACGGCGGCAGCTGGTAGCGGGCGGTAGAACTCCAATGAGCGACAACGGAAGTGTTAGGATGGTGGCAGAAACATTCTTGGAATTCTCCGGTGGCGGTGAAATCCGGTCCACTACGGCAGCCGGCGGAACTGACGGCAAAGACAGGGGTGACATCGGCGGCAAAACATGTCTCGAATTTTTTGGCAGGTTCCGGCGGCCGGCGGCAACTCTGGGAGGGGTATCCTTGTCCTTTCTTCAAAGAATACTCCTATTTGGTGAATTCTACAAATTGACTCCTATTTTTTACTTTCTATATGTTTTTCTCCTATTTAGATAGTTATCTCATAAGCATGTAGCTAATTCCTCTTGTAGTGATTTTTTTTTCTTTTTTACTAATTTTTTTTAGTTTCTTATGTGCTTATGTACGAATCTTAAATTTTGAGGTATGAAATGACGGTAACATTGATCATATTTGTATTTTGTTATACGTAGTAATTCAAAACATTGAATGTCTTTATATGACTTAGCAGTGATCTATAAGAGTTTTAAAAAAATTAGGAACCCAAAAATGACTAGAAGCAAATTGTTAATGTCTGGTTCGGTCCCATATCAATTCTACAAATAATCTACAAGAATCGAACAAATAATAAACGGTGAGATTTTTTAAAGGGAAAACTGTCAAATAGGTCCTCGAACTTTCATAAAAAAGTCAATTAAGTTCTTCTATAGGAGACTCTGTCCGGTCATCGCGAAATGGGGCGGTTCCCGGTGGAATTTTTTGATGAAATTTTTAGAGCATCTTATTTATCAAGTCTAGTTTACTCATACCAAATTTTAGCTAAAAATTTAATCGGGACCACATTCAAATTAATTCGAGAAAACAAAAATGCGCAGTTATCTTCAAGAATTAATTTGGATGTGTTCCCGATTGAATTTTTAGCTGAAATTTGGTATGAGTAAACTAGGCTTGGTGAATAAGATGCTCAAAAAATTTCATCAAAAAACTCCACCGGGAATTGCCCCAAATCGCGACGGCCGGATAGAACCTCCTATAGAAGGACTTAATTGACCTTTTTATGAAAGTTCGAGAACCTATTTGACAGTTTTCCCCTTTTTAAACTAATTCACGTGCTTTGCCTAAGAACCGAACCGGTCCAGAGCCTAATCAAACGATGGTCCACCTTTACTACTACGTACGTAGGAGTATAAGTTATGTTAGCTGCATCCAAAATGAAATAGCTGTAGAGTAATTCTCACAAGTCCATGATTCAGTTAGTTAACTACACCTAATCTTGACAACTCCTGGTAATCTTTTTCCCAAGTTGTCAGAGCAAACAAATATTCCAAAGTTCAGAAAAAAGCAGTAAGAACAGAAAAGGAAAACTATCACCTACGCCCTCTTTTCACCCTCCTCTGGCCTCTCTACCCATAACCACCTTCACAAACCTGTTTTAAGCCTGCAAGATCGCATCTTTCTTCGCCATCTGTTTATGTTTAAAAATGACTAAACTCATCTGAATAGTCTCAGAAAGTTTCTTGTCACAAATCCCTATATACCCACCAAAATTTAAGAGCATATATACACACTCTGTTTTGTATATACATTACTGATTTCATCATTATCCCATCATCTCTCGCTTTTGCTGTGTATAAATTTGCAGAAAGGTTTTGATTTCTCTGACCATAATTCTCGAACTTTCAAACCCAGTTTTTATTGTGTGTGATTTGGTGGCCGGCGAGAAGATGGAAGAACAGGGTGTGGGTTTGATGGGTTCCGGCAGCGGCGGCGGACTGGGTGGTCCGGCGGATGTTTCCACGGCGCAGCTGAAGGCGGAGATCGCGACGCACCCGCTTTGTGAGCAGCTGGTGGCGGCCCACGTGTCATGCCTCCGTGTTGCCACGCCGATTGATCAGCTGCCCCTGATTGATGCTCAGCTGTCTGAGTCTCACAATCTGCTGCGCTCTTATGCTTTGCATCACTCTCCCAGCCTTTCCCCTCTTGAAAGGCAAGAACTTGATCACTTCTTGGTAAGTTCCCTTCTCATAATTAGCTTCTTAATTTGAGGCTAAACTGTATCAACTTTAACCATTGATTATTTGCAAATTATACTTACTCTCTTATATTTCAAGGTAATTTGTTGAAGTATTTCTTTATCAAAACCAATTAAACATAGTTCTCATATTACGCAATCTTTGTAAGGTGGAAGCTAAGATTACTATTTGAGTCCTAATATATACTCTGTCCCATTTTATAAGATGTTTTTACTATTTACTTGGTCAACACAAATCACTCTTAATCTCTTACTTTATATATCAAAATTTTATGAAATTTGAATTATTTTTTGCAGGTTTTGTAGCGGTTTCAGTGTAATTTCTGAATATGTAATTTTTATTTTCTAAAGATAATTTAAGTGCAGACAGGGATCCGTTTACTTTATCATCGGTCAAACATCGTAAATCGAAAAGTATCTTATAATTCGGGACGGAGGGAGTATCAGAATCCATTTATCTCTCCCTCAAGTTATATCAATCTCATTTTTAAGTTTTAACCCATCATCTATCCATTAAGTTCTATGGACCGCAAATGGTCAAGAAAACAATAGTCAGGTACCAAAAATAGATAAAGTGAAAGATGAGGATTAAATATGAAAATGACACAAAACTCGAAGGACCTAAAGTGGAATTAATTCTTACTCTATCCAGGGGCGGAGCCAGAAAAATGGCTTAGGAGGGTCGAAACTCAGCCTATATATAGAATGAAAATGTTAGATTGTTTTTAAACCATGTCTAATTTGAATATTTCATACTACGTATGTAGTTTAGATAAATAGACACTCGTAGCAAAAAAGATAGATTGTCTTTGCTCTATTTCTGAGTCATGTCATGCAAGTATTGAGTGGATTATACCCTAATTTTAACATTTGGAAAAATAATCAATAATATGCATCAAATTTTGCTAATTTTATGTTTAGATAGTGCTGATTTTGCAGAAGTCATAACTTTTTACTCGTAATGAGTTACGGGGGTCATAATATATCAAATCGAAGATATTTCATAGCTCTATACTCTCAACAGTTCAGCGGGGTCGGCTGACCACCCTGACCCCCCCTTGGCTCCGCCCTTGACTCTATCTATCTTAAGCCGGGCAAACACAAAATATGATACCAACGTAGATTTTGAGTTTTCAACTTTTTTGAATGGAATTCAAAAAAGTAGAGTCCGTTTGACAATACTAAAGTTGATTGAATTGGCTGATTTTGCTGAAACTTGCGAGGTTATGATTGAATTGGCTGGATTGGCTAATTTAGTTGAATCATAAAAAAAATATTTAAATATATGTTATTAATAAAATAAATAAAAATTATATGAAAAATGGCTAAAATGGTCTTTTGAAGTAACTTCAACAAATTCATCCAGAAAAGCAATTCCAACATTCCTTATTTTGATTATTATACAAATCGGTGATGTTTGGAAAAAACTTGGTTGACAACATTAATAAGCAAAAAAAACACGATCGCCCGACGGGCTCTTAATATTTGTGTGGGATATTACAGTGTTGATGGATTGCAATACATATACTTGGTGTCAAAGTTATGCCGTATTATATGTTTCCTAAAAATGATACTCCGTATTCACTATTCTTTTATGTTGCGTTTATGTATGTTTTAAAATAATACTCTTTCATTTATAAAAAAGAATTGTGTTGTTGTTTTTTCTTTTCAAGCTCATAAAATTAGGTGTTATCTAATCTAAATGGTTAAAGGGAGTTCTAATTTATATTATGGTTTGATTTGGTGGCATGGGAACAGTCACAATACTTGTTAGTATTGTGTACATTTAAAGAACAGGTTGAGCAACATGTGAGAGTCGATGCGGTTGAAGCAGTTATGGCGTGCCGTGAAATTGAGCACAACTTACTAGCTCTCACCGGTAAATATTGCCTTCCTACCCCCTCCCTCACACAAATTTTACAGAAATTACCCTTATAGAAGAAAAGCACACAAGAAAAGCAAAGTGAAATTTGAAAAACAAAATGAATAAATGGATAATTACATTTATGATTTGTAAATAATACCAATGATGTCATTGATGATGTAATACTGTTGACTAGTAATGTCAAAATATAACAATATGATTTAATAATAAATATAATTTACTCCTAGAGGGAGCCAATCTAGGCCCTCACACATTTCAAAACATGGTGTAAAATATGTCTAAAATTTTTAAGGTAACAAATTTGATGTAAAAAGTTTCCAAACATATTCTTTATACCTATCCGGTACAACTCAGTGCCATGGCTCTGCTCTGCTCCTGCTTTAAAATTTGACATTACTTTAGGTGAAAGTCGCAGTACTCAAAGGCATAGCCGGGGGTCAGGATGGCTAGCTGCCCCGCTTTTTTGTCGTCAAATGGGCTAGCTGCCCCTTAAAATTTTGAGAATGTAGAGCATCAAAATAACTTTATTTTTTATACACTATGAGTCTAATAGCTCATTCCCAGAGAGAAGTTATGGCCCCTAGAGTTAAAGGAATTTTATCAATTCAGTACCCGAAAGATGGATGAATTATCAATTCGGGACCTGAAAGATGAAATGCATCGATATAAGACCCGAATGATGGAAAACTATCAATTTAGAACCTGATTGATTGGAAATTATCAATCTATGACCTAATTTGTCATGTATTTTATTAATTTTTTAATTTAAAAAATTAAATATTATTTAATTTTATTAGAATAATAAACTCTTGTGAAGAAAATGTTATAAAAAATTAGCAATGGAATTAATAAAAAAAACATTAAATAAATCAAAACATATGAACTATTAGGTCCTAGATTGATAGTTTTCCATCATCCAGGTTCTATATCAATACATTTCATCTTTCGGATTCCGGATTGATAATTCATCGATCTTTCAGGTCCTGAATTGATAAAATTGCAAAATTTTAAACTATCACAACTTGTCTATTTTAACTTTTTTTAAACCTATCACTATTTAAAATTTAAAACGATTAAATACATTTCATTGATGAAAGTCATTATTTCATCTTTTAATTATTTATGTTTGTACAATTTAATTATATTATTTTGATGGAATTGGTGCACGTGGAGGCATTGATATCTTCACAGTACGTTATTATTTGCCTTATGGGAAAAAATGCTATATAGCCTGAAGAAATAGGCTACTTGAAGTTAATAGCCTCTATTTTATTTATTAAAATACATAGCACTTTTTTTGTTAACTAGCAGTGTGTAACTTTCTATAATGGATTTACTTTTCTACTCAATTTGGAGAAAAAAGCGGACTAAGAGGTGTAGCAGCGTAGTTAACTCATTTTAATAGACAAAGTGCACGGGTATGGATTTAAAAAAGGCTATCTAGTTAATTTTTGATAATCCATAATATTAACTTAAACACACATATTTAATTATGTACATACACCCAATTTTCTCTTTTCCCTTATTTTCCTCCTACAATTTTCTTCTCTAAATTTTGGGAATTTTCATTTTTCCCTAAATAATCCTTTCCGACTTAATTATAAGGTAAAAAATAATTAAAATACCTCAAGCTTTCAAGGGGTGTGAGGTAAGCACCCCAAACTTGCATATGTAATTTAATATCCTAAACTTTATATAAAAAGTTATTTTAGCACCATGGTCATATATTATTTCTTTAAAAATGTTACTTTCTCGTTTTAATTTCATAATTTCAAATATTTTACCATTAATCAAGATACAATTAACATTCTAAACTTACATTGTGAAATAAATAGTATTACCCTTCCACTCTATTTATTTGCAACGTTTTCAATTTTCTATTTTAAATTATGCAATTAATACAAGAAATTTACATTTGAAAAAAAATAATACATGATTATGGTGTTAAAATAACTTTTTATAAAAGGTTTGGGGTATTTAAATCACATATGAAAGTTTGGAATTGTTTATCTCACACCCCTTCAAAATTTGAGATATTTTAATTATTTTTCCCTAATTATAATGGTAGTGGTTACCAACGTTTATTGACATCTCGTCAAATACAAAAACGTAAATTAAATCATGTTGGTTGAACGGTTGATGCTATCTATCATGTCGTGGTTTAAATCATATATTATGATGTAAGATTAGATTAGTGCATCATAATGCAAATGACAATTCCCAATCTCATGAAGTCATTCCACACCGTACCAAATATGAAACGATACAAAGAAGGTTTAAAATTTGGATTACTTATCTTAGCTTAAAATGGATGGGTACTATCTTTCCATAGTAAGAAGCATTGTTTTCTTCTTTTAATAAGAACGTATCATAAAATCATACACGGATATTAAAATGTGAAATTCATAAAGGATTTTTATACTTTTAGTGCATGCAATTTGACATTTTAGTTGTGATTTTTACAGAGATATTTCATTCGCAGGGAGTACACAAAGTTTGAACTGTTTGATGTTTATAATTTTATAAATACATTTTTTTACATCTTTAAAGAATAAAAAAGTTTTATCATATGTAAAAATACCCACAAAATCTGCTCAGAATTTAATATAATCTAAATTATAATAACAGATTTTTTTTTGTAATTAGAACTAGTTCAATATCCTCGGAAAAATATGATAAATGCATAAGTGATACTCCGTTGTATAGTGCTCCATATCTCACAGTATCAAATACTCATTTTGTGGGTTTAAATAATATTTTCGCTTAAATAACTTTTTTTTGGTCTGGCTTAGTTTTACCTGGTCATAATTGATATGTGTTGATCTAATCTGCCATAATATGATATTATGTGTATTTTATTATTGTTAACGTCTTGTTGATACGGTTTGCTTATGTCTAATTTAGACAAAGACCGCTCCAGTTATTCTGTATAGTATTCTACTACATCAAACCAGTTTAAATGAGATTAGACTTGAACATATCGATTCAAATCAAACAAAATCAGACACTGGAAATTTCCTAAAACTAAAATCAACAAATAAAGTGTATATAACTAAATATTAAGATAAACATTGGAGGACTGTACAAGATTTCCACTTTTTTACTAATAATGGTAGTTTTTACTAATAATGGTAGGTATTTTCTTTATTTTGCCGCAATAGAATTATAATTGGTTGGAGAAGAAAAGCAATTTGAGGCTGTGGTTTGTGCCACCATATCCAAGTTAACTGGTTGGTGTAAAGTGGACCCCACTAGGGAAATTATTGTTTATTGATAGTTAGGAGTAGAGTTCAATTGGTTGGAAGATGGAAGACTGGAATAAACATGAACAAGGACAACAAACCAACAACATTATAACCACTGATAATTGGTGAGAAGGCAACCTACGAATATAGCATCTAGAATTCTTGTTGTATTTTAATGCTTTTTGTCAACTAAGAATTTCAGATAGGTTAATAGGTATAGCCTTAGATCTTTGAATAAATTAAGGTGACAAATCATTTAAGTAACGTAATCAGGAGAGACAATGTTGCAAGAAAATATGAGCCAAGATAATGGTAACATAAACTATTGATCCAATGGAATCTCCCACCCCAGGAGTCCCCAGTTCCCCACACCTCGATCCGACAGGATAGTGGAGTAAGTCACGGTGATTCAATCACCAAAGTAGCAGTAGCCCTAGACCCGTGCGTGTCAGAGGTCCAGCCTTATTTCAGATTCTGTATACCTCCACCCGGTCGTAGTAGAGATTCGAACTTTGGTCCATTGATCCAAATTTCCCATCACTCGACCAACTGAGCTACCCGTGCAGGTTGTAACATAAACTATAACATGAAGGATAGATAACTAATATTCTTCTTTAACCCTGGGGAGTATTGAACGCGGAACCTCCCACAAGGGATAGTGGGCCGATAACCAATTTAGCTGAACTGTTTCCTCAAAATAGATTCCATATATATAATAAGCTTAGTATTTCATTTTTAGTCTTACTAGTATTGCATTAGTTCCACATTTCCATCATCTTTGACTATTTTTTATGTATGACAATTGTTTTTCACTTGTTATCTTTCCACCGATATTATCACTACAAAAAATTACAAGATTGATACGAATTTAGCACAGATTGACTGATGATTTGGCAAATGGCTCGTGTCAAAATGTTTTTGTCACGAGGCAAAAACATTTTTAGCTCATGCCAAATAGTAGTAGATCGTGCCAAAATGTTTTTGGCACGAATTTGTCATTTCGTTGTCAAATCCTCTAGAAATGTTGGTGAATCTCTCTCAATCTTATGCTTTTATAGTGTATTAATGCTTAAAATCGTCAAAGGAGTGTCATAGACTTCGGTATGAGTAAGGGGCAATAGTTAAATACCGATAGCGGATAAAATCTAATAACGGGCTAAAAACTGGTTGGACCAAAAACAGGGTTAATTCATAAGTTTATGTTATAAGTATGATTCCAGCTCAGGTCTCCAAGGATTATACCCACAAAGGGTAATAAACACCACTAGAATCACTAAGGGGAGAAGGGGCGTCAACCAGCAAGGTATTTCCGGCCAACTCTTCCGGTGAAGCCCACAAAGGAACAAGGAGGAATAGTCTGTGAAATAGGTTTCGGCCAAGAACCTCCTTCGGCAGAACTGAGGGGAATAAATAGGTGAGGCTCAAATCCATAAAGATGGTAATTACCATACAGAGAGATTTCATAATTCGAACAAGGAAAGAATGCCAAGGAAAGAACCAGAAGAGAAGTCGAAGTGTTCATCGCAGAAGTGAATCGGAAAACCGATTTAACTATGGGCCGGGTACAACCAAGGTAGGTTGGGCTTAGGGAAAAATAACAAGGGCCAATACCAACACATTCTCCACCTTATTGGACCGTAGTGGTGTAGAGTCAAAACTCTAATAATACATGAGACTCATCATCGCTGGATTGCCCAAATAATCACAAAGACATATTCAGGCAAAAGGGGTAAGATCACCAAGCAACTT